GCATTTTGTTTTGTTTTTAGTGTATTTTGTTTGGAAGTCGGTTTTTAAATGCAAAAGTTTAGATGGATGGATGGATGTTTTTTAGAATTTGGCTCAACTACTGGACGGATCTCGATGAAATATGGCATAGATGCAGAGGATAGTCTGGAAGAATCCAGAGGCTGCTTACTTTTTTTTTAATTGCACGCGGACAGAGTCGCGGGTGAAAGCTAGTGTTATAATATTGTTCCTCAGGGTGCGGTGGCAGGCGGCGTGTTCGGGCTGGTGGTGGTGGTGGCTGCGGGCGGCGGGGCGCAGCTGGCGCAGCTGCCGGCGCCGCGCCTGCCCGCCTCCACGGCCGCCTGTCCTGCCTACTACAACCTCACATCGCATATGACCATCAATCCCACGTAATACATTCTGACATCTATTGTTCTATGTATTGCATCTCTTAAGGGATGTAAGTCTTTTCGTCGGATCAATCGATTTCTGTCATCTGGATATGGATAAAACTACCGATCTTTCTGATATAACGGTGACTTTTAACGAAATCCATGTGGTATGAATCATATAAGGAGTTGCGTACTTAAATCGGATACCGATTGTTTTCTCTCACATGTATAAAATTATTGTTTCGAGATTCAATTTCGTAAATTTTCTTGCAAAAACACTTTATCACTTGGTATAAGCATTAATTAACACTAGTCCTATAAATAAATGATAAAAGTGAGATGTCACACCCTCCATTGTTCTCTTACGAACAGTTTTACACGGTCTTCCGTCGTTTAGTATTCTATCGCCGCTGGAGTTTTTATAACGTGCGATATCATCTAAAATTGTCACGTAAGACGATCATTGTTTTCAACAGATTCCCATATTCGTGTGACGTAATGTGGTAAACTGCTTTTTTCATTTTAATTGTAACAAAATAAAAGCCAAAAAAAGCTATTCATTTAAGAACTAAATTAAATTTAACATTCCAGAAGCTTTATAAATGTATTTTTTGATCTTTTGTAATATAGAAAATCTTAGCTTTATCTATGTTTAACTGATTATTTAAGACGATACAAAATCAATATATTGCTTTCGTATTATTTATTAAGCACACATTTCAGGGAGAACCAGGGTGAATCTGTGTTCTGGTTGTTCCGGGTATCGTACCTGTGGTACTCGGGGCTGGGGTGCGCGGCGACGCTGCTCGCGGGCCTCGTCACCTCCGTTCTCACCGGCGTCACGGACCCCGCACAAGTGCCCATCGACCTCATATCACCCCCGGTCATATCATTCCTCAACTCTTTACCCATTAAATTTAAAGTAAGTAATCTAACTAGCGTTATATTATTAAAATTTCATATCTTCATTTCTTTAACATTTCGACTTAAGTTCGATTCCTAGGATTAAGCAGTCAACATATTT